CCCAGATCAGAACAACTGGCCCTGGTGGTGACTATTGCGGCGTGCTCTTCTTCTTCCTCTCTTTCTTCTTCCTCTCTTTCTCTTTCTCTTTTCTCTCTCTTTTCTCTCTCTCTCTCTCTAAATAAATAAAAGTTTGTAGTGGTATTGACAATATATGGCCTCATTTGTGCCTTAATCTCTCGACGGGTATTCAAATCAGCAGCCCCGGTAAGAGTTCACCTCTTCTGGACTGTAACATTAGTAAGTGGTGTCAGAAGTGGGATACCCGTTCAAGAGAGTATTGTCTAATACCACCTTAGTAGATAAACTTTGTTCTGGTTTTGTCTGATGTGTAGAAGTTTGATCTTTTTGTGCTGTTAAGGGAGCGAATAGTAGAAGGTAAGTCCGCCCAAATCGTAACTCCCAGACCCACGTCTGTTGTCAGACATGTAGAACTTTGATCTTTTAGGGCTGTTAAGGGAGCGAATAGTAGAAGTTAATCCCGCCCAAATCATAACTCCCAGACCCACATTTGAACTCATAAGGCATGACAGAAACACAGGAACGTCAGGTGTTACTGAATTATTTGGAGAAACAAAAGCCTAAGCCATCTTCTTCTGGCTTAGAATGGGCTCAAAAGAATTGGTTTAATCTTTCAGCAGTGACAGATCGGATGATATGTGTACAAAATGCAGCCCGTGTGTGGGCAGGAAAAGGGAAAGGAATGTTATGTGCCATATTAGGTTTTAATTGCAGCAGTTGAAGAAAAGGAACAAAAACATACGGCAGAAACCCAGTTGATTCAGTCTCAACAAGATTTGATCAAAACATTACAGTGTCAATTAGAAGAAGAGAGGTCTCAAGCGGCTCTGCTGAGACAGGAATTAGTTAATCGTCTCTTAGCAGACACAGATGACTCTGATGCCATTGCGGCAACCAAAAAGAAAGCCAAGGGAGTTACCCCTCCGCTGATTTATCCCCAAGCTGAATTGTTTCAATTGAAAGAAATATTGGACAAATTAGAAGTCCCATTGAGGCCATTGATTAAAAGTGAATGTATCTATGATGGAGAGGACGACACGCCTCAGGTCGTGAATAAAGAAGTGCCATTTACGGCCACTGAATTGGCAAAACTCAAAAAAGATTTTGGCGGCACATCAAAGAAATCGGAAACAGAATATGTGTGGAGACTCTCTCTGACCAGGGGAGACCAGATCTTATTGACAGAAAAGGAAGCTGAGGGATATTGGGGACCTGGAGTGGTTTTGACTACAGGGAACTGTAGGCCCCCCTGGTCCCTGACTCAGCGGGCTGCTTATTGGGCAGGAGGTCTCAATCCATTGGAATGAGGAGATCCGCTGGCAATCATAGGATCTACAGATCAATTAGTAGAGAGTGTTCAAAAGGCAGCTTGTCTGCAAATGATGTATGATAGGGAATTAAAACCTAATCAGGAGTCACCCATGATGATTCCTGTGGACCCAGAGAGGATGACCCCTCTCATCCGAGGGCTCCCAGACTCCCTGAAGGCCATGGGAATTCAATTGCAAGGCCAAATCAGAGCCACTGCAAGTGACGACTGAGTCACAGCGGCATTGGAGGGAATGGTCACCCCAGACCGCAAACATGCTGATAGAAAAGTATGGACTTGGGGAGAGGTTGCTTAAGAATTAATTAATTATGGAAAAAAATACGGCCCTGTGCCGAGCCACCCCAAACAAGAATCTAAGGGAATCAGGCGAACCAAGGAGGTACCTATTTTGAGAGAAACCCCAGGAAAAGTCTCTAACCATGTCAAGAGAGGGGCAGACAGTGAGTGACGAAGAAAGAGGGTCGATTTGTGGATTGAAGGGCTGAAAAAAGGAATACCTACAGAAATAATGGACAGACAACCCACTAGAATCTTAAAAATATTGCTATCCAATTAGATTAAAGAAAAGCCCAACATCCCCTCTGCACCCTCTTTCCCAATTCGCACCTGTAAGACTGAGGAGACAAAAAATGAGTAGCAGGGAAACGATCTTCTCCTCCCCCTGTAAGTGAGCCGGGGGGAGGAGGGTGCCAATATTTAAGGAGGCTCACTGAAAATAAAAAGGGTGATTTGATGATTACTTGTGCAACTGGGTAAAAAAATCTTGGTCTAGTACTAATCAGAATAAGTGGGGATGTAATTGTGTGTGGAAAAGTGAATTGGGGGTGGGGAAATGTAAATATTGTGATCGATATGGAGATCAAACCATTTTAAGAGGATCATTAGGACCGAGAAACATACTGTATTATGGGCAACCCATAGACTCTGAAATGTGGGAAGGTCCCTTTGCTAATGGGACTGGGCTTTGAAAGGGCATTATTGGATATGTGGACAGCATGCATATCAAAGATTGCCGCCAAACTAGTCTGGTATATGCTATGTGGGATACATTAGGCCCCTATTCTTCTTATTACCCTCTGATGAGGGAAACCACCTAGGAATGAGGGTGTACGATGAATTGAAGCGTGAGAAAAGGAGTATTGATACCAGTCCGACCAGAAACAGTGGTCAAAAATGGAGAAAGGATGAGTGGCCCCCTGAGAGAATCATACGACATTATGGCCCAGCTACTTGCGGGAGCCAGAGAACCGATCTATAATCTTAACCGCATAATCCGCTTACAGGCAATATTAGATATCATAACCAATCAGACAGCTGATGCTTTAGATTTGTTAGCTGACCAATCTACCCAAATGAGAAATGCTATTTTTCAACATCGCATGGTTTTGGATTATCTGTTAGCCAAAGAAGGAGGAGTTTGTGGGAAATTAAATTAGTCAAATTGTTGTCTGCAAATTGATGATAATGGGCAAGCAGTAAAAAAGATCACTCAGGAAATGAGAAGATTAGCCCATGTACCTGTGCAAAAATGGAAGGGATGGGATTTCGATCTATTCTCTTGGCTACCCGGAGGACGCGTTTGATGTTTGCAATTTTGTGTGGCTTTATGACGCTGTTAACCTTACCCTGCTTAACTCCGTGTCTGATACAAATAATAACATGAACTATTAACAGTATGCACGTAGCTATAGAAGGGCACGGACCAGTCAAAACACTGCGACTCATTACCAAATCAACGGCCAATGTTCCAGAAGAAAATGTGCATGATACATTACTGTAACTTCCCCATCTTTGCCTAAATCCGGGATAGGAGCACGCAGGCCCAAATGGCACATGCACTCTGGACAGGAAGGGGCAGAAGTCGACCCCAACCCTGGCAGACAGCAGACCGCGTGGCCATTGACCCCAACATCGACCACAAGGGCCGCGATCAATCAGCTCCGTAAATAATGAGTAATATGTAAGTGACTATGGCAGTCCATCTTGGGGCTATAATTTTGCTTCTTATTGCTATAATTGTTCTTTTAGTACTTTTTTTCTTGCCGTGTAAATGTCCATGTGGACAATCGTCTCCTAATCTCCCAGAATCATAAAATTGGTCTGCATCATGTTTTGCTTTTGTAAAGTTAGCTATGGTTAAAATGTTGATCTGTTGTTAAACTGTTGAATTATTGTTAATTGGATGTTATCTATAATTTTGCTTCTTATTGCTATAATTGTTCTTTTAGTACTTTTTTTCTTGCCGTGTAAATGTCCATGTGGACAATCGTCTCCTAATCTCCCAGAATCATAAAATTGGTCTGCATCATGTTTTGCTTTTGTAAAGTTAGCTATGGTTAAAATGTTGATCTGTTGTTAAACTGTTGAATTATTGTTAATTGGATGTTATTGCGCCTTGTGCTATCTCTGTAACTTCTCTTCGCTTTCCTTTCCTCCTCTTTTCTATTTCTTTTCTACAAAGTTTGAGCCACGGGGTGGAATTGTAAGAATTAGGACCACTGATATTGTAAGAATTAGGACATGTTTGTCTCAGACTTCGTACCTTGTGGTTTTGGAGAGGAAGTAGAGACTCAAGTTGCTATAACGTCAGCGCACTGTCTGG